ACACATTGTTTTTCTTCTGTATATAATCCTTGTTCTCATTCTTTTCTTAGTAATGCATGTTTACTTGCACAACTTTTTGCGGAACACCGATCTCAACATGTTTATCGTGGATATCTTCCATCCATGGAGGAAAAATGGCGTAAATATTACACCGATATTCCTATGATTTATATTTTTGCTTCTATTTTAGATCCTAGGCAAAAATATGATGGCACCTTTTTATTAATTGATATTTATTATAGTAACATGAATTTTGAAGATGATGTTGAAACTTTTAAAAGTAAGGTGACAAATGATTTTTTTCTTTATATAGAGTTTATGAAAGTAAATATGGAACCGTGTCTCGATTTGCCCCTTCTCAAACATCCAAAAATGTAAGTAAACGGGCCAAAGGTTTATTTGCACAAGCTGCTAACATGATGTCCAAGTTTTCAGGTACGGAATATCAAGTAAGAGAACACAAAGCGATGTTTCGGAGTTGCAAATGTACTTAAGTTACGACTTCATGAAAGGCATGGACGATGAAGAGATGTTTGGCCTCGACATCCTCGATTGGTGGAAATCACAAACCGTGAAACATCCAATTTTGTCGGCAATGGCTCGTGATATTTTGCAATCCAAGTCTCCTCTGTTGCATCCGAAAGAGCTTTTAGTGCGTCGCGACGAGTTTTAGACGATAGAAGAACAAGACTAAAACCCGAAACACTTGAAATGTGTGTTTGCTTCAAGGATTGGTTGGATGCCGAAACTCGTTCTCAAGATCGTACTTATGCACAAAACGACGACGATGAAGGAACGTCGACTTCTTTTAGTTCTCATACTTCTCAATCAACTCAATTGGCGGATGAACTTGAACCTCTAGAAGACGAAGATGAAGACGAAGGCGAAGACGAAGACGACCAATAATAATTACATGATTACATATTTACATTATACACTATTGTATTCTTTTTGTATTATCGAACTTCGTATTCCGTATAATAAATGAAGTTATTCAATATTCATACACTATTGTACGATTTTTAATTATCATTACTTATTTTGTATTATTGAATTATCGTACATTCGTACCGGCTACCGTCATATAATAAAATAAGTTATTCTTCAATTTTTTGTGTTTTCGGATTATCGCACTCGTATTTTTTTTTAATTATATGCATTGTTGTTTTTTGCTAAATTAATAAAATTATTTTTATTTGTTTAAATAAACTTAAACATAATTATTAATTAGATAAATAATTTATATAACCTAAATTAAAATAAAGTTGTTCAAAAAATGAAAACAAAATATATTAACATTAACATTTAACATAAACATAAATTAATCACATATATTAAGTTGTACTAAAAAAAATATATATGATTTAATTCGTTTTTTTTTTCATTCATTAAAAAAAAAATAAAAAATAAAAAACTGGCACGGTTTGGCCCGCGGCCCGGCACGGCACGGCCCGCAAGGCACGTGGGTCATGCCGTGCCGTGGGCTGGGTGTGCCAAATTCAGGCACGGCACGGCCCCCACCCCGGCACGGCCCGTGCCCATGTTTATTTGACACTATGTTAAAATTGAACGCATGTCATGTTGTAATTAAAAATTGCTCCTCCTAAAGTATAAATTTTATTTTATTTTATTTTAATAAAATTCAATCATGAAAAATTGCCCCAAAATAACTTATCAACCTCAAATCTTTAATCAAAAGAATTGTTAATTTCTCAGCTAGTAATTGATATTACGTGGGCGAAGTTTGTAGGCCTCCGGTGAAATAGTGTTCTTGGCGCTGTTAACGGACAATCAGATTTTGGTCAATGTCATAGCTCAACAAACCTAGGTAATTCTCACACTTTTTTCTCCTAAATTGATTTTAATATTAATGAATAATTAGTTTTACTACTATGAAAAATGTCAATTTTCTGTTTATAATACATAACTGAATTATGATTTCGTTGATGATTGATGCGTTCTATGGCATCATGATTATTTTATTAATTATTCTATGACTAAATTATCATATAATTTAATTCACATATTTTGTCATTCAGTTTAGTTTTGAAATTAGTTTTGTGGAAATCCCAACTTAGGGCCTGTTTATATTTGTTGAACTGAGGTGAACTGAACTGATTGGAGCTGTCCGAACTGAACTGAACTGAACTGATTGGAGCTGAATTGAACTGAACTGAACTGAACTGAACTGAAAAATTAAAATGCATAAAACTGAACTGAACTGAACAAATTGGAGTTGAACTGAACTGAACTGAAAATAAGTAAATATGAACAGGCCCTTAATCACTAGTATACTTAATCAAATTTTGCAACTGTTAATTCCCAACAAGAGGAAATATTAAATATATGACTTTTATGATTAATGGATGGTTACCTTGACCAAATAGTCAACCTTTGACATAATGAAGTCACCCTTCTATATTGTAGTCTTATTGGTGCTGGTTGTGAAGGTCTGTTGTTCTTGTACACAGAATTGGAGCTTTATTTCAGTAATATACTCGAGCCAATACTCGATGTTCTCGATGATGATTGTGAAGGTCGACTCTAAGTTCGTGTTGGCTGAATTACTAAACAATTTCATCAATGAGATTGTGGACTTGTTGAGTTGTGGGAGAGCAAGCACATTTTGTTTGAATTTTGATGGGGTTGTACATTTCACTTCACCCTTTCTCCTAAAGCTGCTTAATTTGTTATTGGTCTGTCGTTCTTCTCAATTAGTACCTTAGTTACCAGTATATTGTTCTGAATGTCATGATTCAGTTCTTTGTTCTGATGACTTTTCATTGAGATATTGTTGTTGCACATATGATTTTCTGTGGCTTATTATATGCCAATTCATAAGTCCTGACTCTTAAGGTCTACATACTTCTTAACAACAAACAACTGACTCGACTTCACAAAACAAATGCAGGTGAATCAATCTGTATTTATACTTCTCTTCTAGTATGCATTTGATGATAATGTGATTCATGGAGTTAATGAAGTACTGAATAGATTCCGATATCATTCATTATACCAAAGAGCAGCTCTAATTCAAAAAACTGAGAAAGTAGGTAGTACACAAGCTCTTCTTTTTTAACAACCTTGTTTAAATAAACTTGTTAAGATATTTTCACTCTCTAGTTAACTCTACCAAACTTAGAATAGTACTGATTTATACATCAAGAAACCTGAGGCATGTAGATGCTTTGACAATTCATTTGAAGTGTTCCTCCGTACATAGATGTCGTGTACTCGTGTTCTCTTTTCAGCATATTTGCTATTTCCTTGATTCTTCCAGGTACATTCCTACAATTTTGCCTGGTAAGATAGGTTATGCCTTCCATTTCCTCGGTGTCATACACTCTTTACTCCCTTATATGCAACCCTTGCTGGAACATTTAGTCAGCTTCATTATCTGATAAAGATTGCAGCTCAACTGTTTCTTGGGAACTCATTCTTTGGCACACAGTTGGACACCGTGTGGTGTAGATGAGTTTGTCGCCATTAGGATGAATTGGGATACCAACATTAATTGGTTCGAAATTTTTGATCAAATAGTATTATATAAGAACAAATTGACCTTTTAGTTATAATGCTTGGTGTAAACTAGCCAAACTTCTATGTTGATCCTCCTCCACTATCTCTAAATGTCTAAGCAATATATTTAATAAAACCTTATTGGAGAACATTTGTGTTGCGATTGTCAACTAGTAGCCAATAGTAGACATGCTTGGGAATTTCTGTTTTGTTCTCTTCACCTTATTTCATGCAACAAATCTATCTATTAGTCTTGATCATTATTTTTTTCCCCTTATTGTTTGAATTTTGTATAACTTAACTTGCCGTGGAGAAGTGAAAAGTACAACCCCATCAAAATTCGAACAAAATGTGCTTGGGAATATCTTCCAGCACCTTACTTATGATTTATTCTCTTCTCCTTATTTCATGCAGTGAGTCTATGTATAATTCTTGATCATTATTTTCTCTCATTGTTTTATTTCATACAAAGTACTTTGTATAACTTAATGCATATACTTCATATATATGTATATATATATATATATATATATATATATATATATATATAAAACCTTAATCCTATACTTTCATGAAGAGGTTTTGAAAATTTTAAGTCATTTGATTTATTTATTGATCATGGGGATTGGAATGGAATGTACAAAGAGACGATTGCATTGTACGTATGTATTCTCAAATCATATCAATACTTCAACAGAAAACATAATATAAACACAACAAAGCTATCCTATTTGTAAGGTGCTCTTGGCTGTACCTGTACCAACTATAACTGTTATTATACACAAGTATATTCCTTTTGACCTTTTCTTGTGTCTGACCAGAAATATTTTGAGACTGCGCAGAAGCCTTTGGATCATCAAGATGTAGATGCAGAACCAGATTATAAAAAAAAAAAAAAAAAAAAAAAAGAATTACAAGGGGCGTAGACGATGTATCTGAAGCTGGATGAGACACTCAACAGTCTAACGAAGAAGTGAGCAATCAAAGCTGATGAAGGATAGTGTATGCTTCATTGTTTCATAGTAAGTATTTTATAAATTCAGATTCTTTTTCCATAGTAAAAGTGGAACCCACCTAATTCCAGACAAACTTCTTCACATATATGTAGAAAGTGTCTTAATCATTTTTTACCACAGAGCAACCACCATTACACATATGAGTAACATGATCACAATCCGTTCATATAAATATATGTACATCAGCTTTGTAAGAATTCATTTCACTTTCATTTTACTTATTAATCCAACTTTCATGAGAGGTTTTGTTTTTTGTAAAAATAGAGCAAGTGAAATGAAAAGGAGAGTATGAATGTACTTTGTGTTTTATATTATGAACAAATTATCATAACAAGTCCATCTTGTATTGAAAATGTAAAAAACTAATCAAAACAATTTATATACTAAGTAAACTTTTACATTTCTTTTTGACACACTTTTACAAGTGAGTGCAGCACTGTCAAATAATAATGAGGGATGAATAAAATGACAAGACTAAAGTAGCACTGTCAATAAAATAAAATTAAAAAAAGACTCAAAAGTCAGAAAGCAAAGGATGAACAATTTTTCTAAGCGATTAGTCGATTACTAAGAAGTTTCATCATAAATTCAAGGAAATGCAATCACTAATCCACTTTTTGACACTAATGTTTACTGCGTTTTGCCTATTTATGTGTCAATAACATTCACTGTTACTTGTATTTACTTTCATCTTTCTAGTTCATCAGTACTAATCTTTCTAGCTCAGCAATACCCTTTGGTTAAGGTATGTTCTTCCTAATCTGTCTAGTAAAATATAGATTTTATGTTTCCGCATTTCTGTTCTCTTAAAATGGCTGAGATTCAGTTGGATAATATTTGTTAAATATTGAAAATATTTTCTGGTTTTTGCTTCTGCTTGGTTATTCACCCAGTTTTGTTTTCTACTGTATATTATGGAAGCTGTGATTGAAGCACAGCTTCATTCTGATTAAAGTCGGTCTTCTAAGACTCATTTACAGATAAATAGGATTTGCTTAAAATTGAGAAAAAGTTCAGACAACCAGAATTACACAATATACTCCCTTTATTCAATGTTCCCAAAAATTTGATAACTTATATTATTGAAGCATCTATGGTTGGTATTCTGGTAAACTCCAATCGATTAGACATTTTGGTCCTATGTTGTTCTTTTGTGTCATACTTGAAATAAACATGGAATCTTTGATTTGATTATGAGGATACCCCAGTTTCTCATGATGAGAAACAAATTTCGTTTCTCACATGGCATTTTCGTAAATAAACCAACAACTTTATTCAACTTTTTTAACTGTGGAGCCCACAATACTGAAAAAGTTGTTGATTTATTCACGAAAATGCCACCATGAGAAACAAATTTCGTTTCTTACCGTGAGAAACAGGGAATTTCCCTTTGATTATTAAGGGGTAAGCTAGAAACCTAAACTAAATCACTTGTAGCACATCATAGTTTTTACATCAAAGGTCTCCTTGTTTGATGCTACAGTGATTTTGTACATAGGCGTTTGAATGTACATCTCCATACAAAAAAAAAAAATCCTAAAGCAAAGGGTGTACTTATTATATTTTAAGTGACCATTAAGTCATTGATCTAATTGTGTTATTCCCACTGTCAATTAATTTTTTGGAATGAACCAAAAAAAGTTCACTTGAAACTTTTCATTGTCAAAAGCACAATATGCCAATCATGACAATATTTGTAATCATAGTTCACTAGACGATAAGGAGTGAGGAATTGTTTAATTATACTGATATAGTTAAAGAAAAGAAAAAAGGATTAGTACATTCAGAAGATTAGGCAGGGGAGATTATTTCACCCCTCTGAAGTCTTATTTGGCAGGGTTTTTAAGTTTCATTTCATGATTTCATCAGTGTGGTTTCAACTGTAAAGCAATATCTTTCAGTAATCACAGTAAAATCAATTTGTGTTTTCGCATTTCCATTTTCTTTTGCTCCATACTCAAAATGGCTGAGATATAGTTGGATAATTTTGTTTAAAACACTCAATCTATTACTTACTGATTGCCTGATTTCTCATATATAAGGCTATTCATCACGTTCCATTTTGTACTGTAATATCCAGAGCTGATCCTGAGGCATGACTTCAACGTAACTTTAGCCCGTTTTTAAAGCATGGTTACAGTAGTTTATTCAGATTTGCTTTAAAATGTAAAAAAGGTCAAGACAGCTAGAGGTACACCATTTACTAGTAATTCCTTTTTCTGTATCCTATTTTAGTCGCCATTTTCTTCTTAAAGTTGCTTCATGTCCTGAGAAATTACATTATCCTTCCTCTAAACTTTTATTTGATCTTCTCGGGGTAGCGAACTAGCAACTATGATTGGTATTTCTCTGATAAACTCCAATTGATTTGTCATTGGTCTTAATGATATTTTGTGTCATCTTGAAATATAATGGAATCTGTGAATATAATAGTAATCATAGTTCACTAGAAGTAATGACTGAGAAATTGTGCAATTATTTCCCTACAACATTATACCTACATTTTCATTTCCTTCTGCGAGAATTTTTCATAAAGAGTGAACCTTATGATCTTAATTAGTTGCTTTGAAGTTTTATTCTTAATGTTCAACCATCAAGTGCATGATCTGATGTGTGTTTTTAATGGTGAACCTTTCATAGTTAAAAGAGTTATAAGCCAAGTTATTACACATGGCTCTCTTTCAAAGATGTTTTGATTACTGATTTTGACTCTTTCTCACTCTAGCACTGCAAGAAAGAAACCGAAGAAAGTAATGAGAGACAGTGCGCCAAAATCTTAAGCAATTACATGGGATTCAGCAAATTTATAAGTTGGGTTGGAAGTTTGCTATTCAGTAACTCTGCTCAAGTATCTGGTGTTAATGATAAAGAGCTTGAGCATGATGACGATCAGCCAGGAAACAAGAAAAGAAAAACAACTCATGAAAGCATGGTGATTTATGATCACGAGCAAGGGTCTTCTTCAGCTTCCAGTTCCCAGCCCATATGTCACTCGGATTGGCTATTATCTAATGATTCTTCTGTCTGTCATAAGAAGTGGGCTCTGAAATTCAAAACAAATAGACTATTTTCTCGAGCCCTTGATGTTTGTAAAGAAGTTGAGCACGATGAGATTCAGCCAAAAAAGATGCGAAGGCTGGAGGTTCAACACTGGTTAACTGCTGTAGATAAAATTAGAGACGAGGTTCAAAACATAGCAACAGATGATCAGAGCATAGAAAACTTCACTTCACAAGTTGATGAACTGTTACAGTGGGGTCACTTTCCGCATGGATATGTATTGCATGATCATAGCCCAATACAACTTTTGCTCCCGTCAAAGAATCCAGCAGGGAAAATGTTTGCATCGAATACTGCAACTATTCTTGAATGGTTGAAAACTAATGAAAGCTGCATTATTGGTGTGTATGGGATGGGTGGTGTAGGGAAAACTACTATGTTGAGGTCGATATATAATGAGCTCCTGAAACAGGACACCTTTGGACGTCCTTATTGGGTATCTGTCTCGCAAAATTGTGATGAGCACAAACTGAGAAATGAAATTGCTCAAGAGCTTGGTGTGATCCTCTCTGGAGAAGGTGATGATAGGAAGAGAGCAGCTATTTTACACGAACGATTATCCAAAATGAGCCCGACAGTACTTTTCTTAGATGACATGTGGAAATGGAATCCATTCTTGGGAAAGGATATCGAATTTCCTCTTAAAGACAGCTGTTGCAAGATCATTTTAAGCAGTCGTTCATCTAAAGTGTGTCAAGAAATGGGATGCAAAGACTTTACCATCAAGGCAAAAGTTCTGCCGGAAGGTGAGGCTTGGAACTTGTTTGTTGACAAGCTTGGACATTACAACACACTTACAGAAGAAGCAAAAGGAATCGCAAGATCAATAGCCAAAGAGTGTGGTGGTTTGCCACTTGCAATTGCTACAATGGCTCGCAGTATGACTGAGGTGGTTGATGTCCGTGTATGGAATGATGCTCTAAATGAGCTGAGACAATCTTCTTGTGAGCAGAGTGACATGGAAGAACACGTGTTTTCAGTATTAAAGTACAGTTACAATCGCCTTAATGACCAAAGGCTGCAGAATTGCTTCTTAAGTTGCATACTTTATCCTGAAGACAAGAAGATAAAAAGGGAGGAGATAATATATGAATGGATTATGGAAGGATTGCTGGATGATGCAGGGAGCAGATCAAAGCAGCTGAACAAGGGCCATACAATCTTGAATAAACTGATAAACTCATGCTTGTTGGAAGCATGCACTGCTTATGGTTCTGAAGGTGTTAAGATGCATGATTTGATGAGAGATCTGGGTATTATGATCACAAAAGGATATCCTTGTTTCATGACAAAATCAGGACTTCGACTGCTGGAAGTACCAGAAGAAGACCAGTGGAGCAAAGATCTAGTGAAAGTTTCATTAAGTTGGAATGATATCAGTGAAATTCCATGTGGTGTGGCACCTCTGACACCAAATCTTACATTGCTCAAGCTCAATAAAAATCCTCTGACAGTGATCCCAAAATCATTCTTTCTGCACATGCCAGCCCTCACAGTTCTTAATTTATCTAGAACTAATATTCAGAGGTTACCAGATAGTGTTTCTGATTTGGAAAATCTAAGGGCTCTTCTACTTGATTCGTGTGACGAGCTAACATATGTGCCATCTTTAGCAAAGCTTTCAAAATTGAGGGTACTGGATCTAAAATATGATATAAAGCTTGCAGAAGCGCCAAAGGGAATAGAAAGATCGAAATGTCTAGAAAAGGTAAGCTATTGGCCATGGGATATATCTGACAGCCCTGGCTTTAATAAGCTTATTCAATCTTTACCTTCATCATTAAGTTGCTACAGATTCTGTCTTCATGACCCGAAATTGTTCAAAACCACTTATTTTTATGGTTGTCTGAAGGATTGGAATCATAAAAATTTTTGGGTGGATGAGAATATAGTGTTTGTAGCTGGGGCAGAAATAGGAGATGACAAAACCACTTATTTGCTCCCAACAACAATCGAAAAGCTGGAGATACTTGAATGTAATGTGAACAGAAGAAATCTGGGAGATGTTTTTCCTACCTTGGGTGTGGCAATAGACTTGAGGGTATTGTCTGTAAGTTCTTGCAAAGGGTTAAAGTACATATCATCACCATCATCATTAATTGCAGGGGATATTAATCTTTATGATCTGCCTGATTTGAGAGGGATAATAGAATTCGGAGGATGCTCTTTTTCCAAGCTTCGCCGTCTAGTAATAGAATTTTGTCCAAAAATAAAAGTCATCTTTCCCCTCATGGAGAAGCAGCTTTCTCTTCCAAATCTGGAATATTTTGTGGTGTCAAATTGTGAGGAGTTAGAGGAGATATTTGAATCCAACTCCGTTCTTGCTCTTCCTAATTTGGTTTATTTATACATAGGTTTCCTACCAAAGTTACGAAGACTTTTCATGAACCTGCATCTTTGTACTTTGCTAGAAAAGCTTTGTGTGTGGGACTGCGAAGAGTTGGAAGAGATATTCGAGAGCAGTGGCAGTAGTAGCTCATCATCTACAACTTCACAGAGTGAGACAGAGACACTAGTAGTTGATCCCATGAATGCTTGCAATCCACAACCCAACCTTATCTCTGCTCTCTTCAGATTGCAGGAAATAAGTTTGGGAAATTTACCAAAGTTGGGAAGCATTTATAAGGACCTGCACCTGTGTACTTCTTTGCAACAGCTTGAATTCATGGATTGCCCGAAGATAGAGCAAATATTCGGAGCACCCAAATTTGTACTTGCTCTCCCTAATTTATGGAGGCTAAAATTACTGAGGCTACTGAATCTGAGCAGCATACATAGAGGGCTACTCCTCTGCACTTCTCTAAGGTATCTCAATGTAGAAGGTTGTTTAAAGCTGAAGAGGGTGCCATTGTCCCACCACCTAATTTGTGATGGCTCATCGTCTAGTTTACTTTCACTGCCCTCTAAGTCTGACAACCCGGAGTTGTGGGAGCTCTTACAGCGCAACTACTCTGAGGATGCGCGTCTCCTATCTGATTTTATACGAGATCATGCTGAACTTCAAGAATGTAATCAGAACCAGTTGAAGCTGAAAAGAAAATGGAGCGACCCTGATGATAATGCTTGTGCTTTCACTGATTATGTCAATCAAGTTTCACTACCACCCTCCCTTCAAACTGTAGGTGATGATGATGAAGATGAACAAAATGATCAAAGGAAATGGGGTGCATCCTTATCCTTATTTCTCCCTCTTGTTAGTTTTTGACATTTAATTTGTAAATTAACTTTGTTATATGCGTTTGGAACTTAATGTGCATTTGGAATTCTCTTCTTATAAGTGTTTGGTGATCATTTAAATGAAACTCAGAAAATAATGACTAGTACAATCTCATATTGTTAAACAATCATATAATAACATGTTTAAGGTAAACTGTCAAGTTATTGATTTGCTTGTTAAAAAATTCTCTGAACTTTGCTCTCTACAGTCTGTGTAAAAGATTTGATCAAATCATCATTATCTTGACTTTAGCCTTTAATAGCTCTAGTTCAAGTCTTCATTGGGTAATCATAAATTTGATAATTAATTCATATTTATTGAGCTACTACTAAAATACATACTATCGGGTAAAATTATCATATTTAAGTCTGAAGTTGCATGAGACACTCAGTATTTTCTAATGAAGAAAGTGTAAAACCTAGCTGATGAAGGAACACACCTATTTCCTGATAAATTTCGTGTTTAGAAAGTGTCATTAGTTAGTACACACTTTTTGACTAATCCGTAGAGGCATAGAGCAACTACAACCATACATATGAGTGATATGAGTTACATCTTACATGATCATAATTAATCGGTTTTTTTTTAGACCTGTCAATTTGGGTCAACGGGTCGGTATCGGGTCAAATTTCGGCTTTTTTGGTCATTTGGTTCAAGTGGTTTGGATTGCTTGGATAATTACAAATTATGATAAACTAGGTTAGGTTAATTTTCAATAATTATTTTTTGTATTAATACTATATAAAAAATATTTCAAGTAATTTAGCTGTATTTATATCAAATGAAATGCTAAATAACAAAAAAATTTGGTAGGAAAAAACCACATTAAGAATATGTTCAAAATTTGTTCTTAAGTTCTAAATTATATTTTCAGCTTATGTTCTAAATTTTTTCCTATGTTTTAAATTATTTTTTCGGCTTATGTTACAAATCTTTTCATGTGCCATAAATTATTTTTTCAACTTATGTTTTAAATTATTTTTCTAAATTTTTGCGATCTTCTAAATTTTTTTTCTTATATTCTAAATTTTTTCGGCTTATGTTCTAAATTTTTCCTACTTATGTTTTTAATTTAATCTGCTTATGTTCTAAATTTTTTCGTATATTCTAAATTTTTTTCTATGTTCAAATTTGAACTCCGGCAAAATTACAGAAATATCATTACTAAAGGATCATTTTAGATAATTAGATTTAAACTAATAAAGGCCTGAGATTAATTCTTATATTAGATTGGGTTCTTGTATAGAGGAGGGTTCTTACATGACTACATGAGCCTTCCTCTATATATATACTACCTCCGATTCTTGTTACATGCCACTCTCATAGGAATTGCGGACTCCTAGGCAAAAGATCCTAATCATGTTTACTGAAAGATAAGAATATATACTTAAGTATTAATCCAACTAAAAAAAATTAACCAAATTTAAAATAAATAACCCACCACCACCAACACCACCTAGTTGTACATAAACCACCCACCAGACCACCTACCACTGAACCCAGCAAACCCAACACCGACGACCCCGAACCCAACAATCCAAGCACCGACGAACCCAGCAACCACCGAACCTAGCACCGCAGAACCCACTAATAGACTAGCCTACGAACCCAGCAACCACAAAACCACGACCCCACCTAACTCACCGATCTCAACCACGACCACACCAAACCCACCGATCTAAATTACGGAAAACCAAACCCACCAATCTAAGCCACGAGCCCACGACCCATCAAACCCACCGATCTAAGCCATAACCCACCAAACCCTCCGCAGCAAGTCCAGCTACCCACCGACCTCAGCTAATCGACGAACCATCGATGATCTGGAACTACCAACGAACCCACACTTGGAACATCGCCGAATCCACGCTCGGAACACCGACGAACCCGCCTTGAGAATGGGGTTGGAGGAGGAGAAAGAAAAAAAATTAGGGATGAGAGTAATTTAGTTAAGGTTGGGGTTTAATTTAATATAATCAGATTTGTATTTTAATAAGATTGATTTTAAAAAAATAGTAAGGATAAAATGGTAAATTTAACCGTAAAAACTTACCATAAAAAGAAAGAAAAAAATTACAAGTAATGTAAACCATCTAAAAATGACAAAAGTTACGAGTAACAAGAATCGAAGGTAGTATATAAAAAAAAATACTTCGTGATAATAATGATGATAATAATAAACCTCGACCCATATAACATTAGTAAGCCCAAACCCAATCCCAATAGCCCAAATCTGCCAAACTCCCTGAGACCCTCAGTCCCTCATTACTATTCACTAGAAACCCTCAATCATTTCAGCCGTTTCACTCAATCACTCATCATTTTTACTCAATTTTCATTTTCTCTGTCATTAACATTTTCCCTCTTTTGACTCTCTTCATCTAGTCATTGCTGCTCTGGTTCGTCTCATTGTTGCTTCGTCTGACTGCCATTTTCATCTCACTGAATAGTAAAATACTCGGTAAATTTATTCAACATTCTCTTTTCATTCACTTGCATTATTCATTTATTCGAATTTTATTTATTGTTAATTGACATTTTCCAAATTAATTACAGCTTGTTAGGATGGAAGATGGAAAAATTGGTGCTCCAGACAAAGTATCCGTTGCCTCGAAAAAACCTAAAATCAAACGAAAGAGGATGATAGATCAGTCTGAGATATGGGAGCACTTTGATATGGAGATGACGGAATATAGCATTCGAGCCACTTGTAAGTTTTGTAAAGTCTAGTACAACTACAAGTCTACAATTCCAATAAAAATGGAACTAGTCCTTTATCTAATACACCTAATGACTCTAAAACTAGAGAGGTTGTTATATACACCCGTATATCGTATTTAGAGGGTGTTATATACACCCGTGTATCGTACACCCATGGGTATTTGTTCTCAAAAATTAAACTTAGATTAGTTGGGTGTACGATAACAAATTCTACTAAAACTAAGCAAAGTTTGCTATCTTTTGTAGATCCTACCAAAACTGCAGTCACAAGTGGATTGTTTTATCATAAATTTGACCCTGATGGACTTAGGAAAGCCTTGTCTTTCATGTTGATTGTTGATCAACTTCCTTATAAGTTTGTTGAGGGCGAAGGTTTTAGATTTTTTTGTAATATGATGGACCCTAGATTTCAAGTGCCTTCTTGGCAAACAGTGGCAAGAGATTGCTTTGAGATGTATTTGGTTGAGAAGAAAAGGCTTAAAAGTGTCCTTAAAAATTGTAATTCGAGGGTCTGTTTAACTACTGATGCTTGGACTTCTATACAACAAATTAATTACATGTGTTTGACTGCACATTTTATTGATAATGATTGGAAACTTCAAAAAAAAATTCTCAACTTTTGTTCCGTTACAAGTCATAAGGGTGAGGAAGTTGGTAAAATGATAGAGAAATGTTTGCTTGAGTGGGAGATTGATAATATTTTGGCTATCACTGTCGATAATGCCAGCTCCAATGACATTGCCATTGCATACATGAAAAGAAAGATTAATGAATGGAAAACTAGAGTTCTTAATTGTCGTTACTTGCATATGCGTAGTGTGGCTCAGATCATTAATTTTGTTGTTTGTGATGGCATGAAATTTGTTCATGAGTCCATCACTCGTGTAAGACACGCTGTGAGGTTTATTAAGCAGTCACCTACACGATTGTTGAAGTTCAAGAAGTGTGTTGAAGATGAAAAAATTGCTAACAAAAAATTGTTGTGTCTAGATGTGCCTACAATGTGGAATTCAACTTTTTTGATGTTAGATGCTGCTCTTTCTCTTGAGAATGCTTTTGAAAGATATGCAGAAGAGGACCCTCATTATGTGATTGAACTATGTGAGAGGGAGGGGAATGGGCGTCCCACATTTGATGATTGGAGTAATGTTAGAAGGTTTTCTGAATTTTTAGGAAGCTTTTATGAGCTAACTTTGCGTGTTTCTGGAACTTCATATGTGACTTCAAATTTATTTTTCCATGAACTTGTCAATGTTTCTTCCCTTTTGAAAGAGTTGTGTGCTTCTGATGATCCTGAAATGTGTTCTATGGCTCTTAAAATGAAGGACAAATATGACAAGTATTGGGGTAATCCTGAAAAAATAAACATGTTGATTTTTATTGCTGTGGTACTTGATCCTCGCTACAAACTTGATTATGTTGAGTGGATGATAAAAGAAATTTATGATGAGTATATTGCTCTTAAGTTGGTTAAGAATTTAAGGGAAACTTTAAATGCTTTGTATGAGGAGTATCGGGTCTTACCTCCAAATAATATTAATAAGGAGAAAATTTCAAGTAGTAAGGATGAAACCTTTACTCCATACGGTGAAGCTCGTAACCAGTCTTGAGTGCAAATCAAACTCTCGACAACTTTGGGACTTAGTGAACTCCTAAATGGATCGAGAACTCTCCCATCGGTACTAAAGGCACTTTCAGAAGCAACTGTGGAGATGGGGTATGCTAACACATCACGAGCTATTCTTTTCATGGTGGGAAACCTTTGACCATTCAACTTCCACCACCCTAAAATATCAAATTCCTCAAAGTCCTATGTTTCTTCATCCAAATACTTGTCTAGCTCCATCTTAGATTCTCCTTTTCTTTCACATTTTTGTTTCCTATACTTACTCTTCAATGCCTCAACTTTCTTTTGAGTGGAAAGATTAGTTTCTCTTCTATTTGATGCAAAGCATGAAAGTGACTAGTTATGCTAAAGACTATTATTTATTTGTCTTGATTTGGTTTCTCTATGCAATGTGAAGAGTGTTTCTTTAACTTAATGAATTGATGACGTGAGTGATTGGTTATTTTAGAAGAAACTATTGAGGATAAGTTAAATAAATTTAACTTGCCTAGAGTTCTCCTATCTTTTTATGGAGTGTGTTTCCTAATATTTTTTCTAAAGTCTTTTCAATGTTTAAGGCTAAATTTGTGAGTAAAGGTCTTAGTTGGATGACTTAATTATTTCGGATCTTTAATCTTTGATGACTCCAAACTGAAGTAGTTTCATTTTTCAAATTTGAATCCAATCCAAAACAAAATCTGTACCTTTAACATTGAAATTCAAAAGTCGAACATCACCTGCAAAATTCCTACAATCATCTATTGTTAACTACATTCTTTGGGAGAGAAAGTAACATATTGAGAAAGGACTATTGAGATATATATATATATATATATATATATATATATATATATATATATATATATATATATATATTTTTAATTCGATTGCATATGAAAGGGGAATTGAGAAAATGAAAGTTACATTAAATTAGGTCAACATTCGGTTTGTAATTCGGTTTTTTAAACCTGAAACTGAATCCAATCCGTAATCCATGCAACTCATTGTGTTGTTACATTATCCTCTTTATTGCCTATGTCGTTCTTATTTTACATTGATTTACTCCGCATTAATCAAACACAACACCAGCCTTAGTTAAAGAATAATATAGCACATTTCAATTTCACACCACATTATTAATAAGACTATAAATGAAAGGGAATTAAATAATATATTATTATTTTTTGTCCAAAAACAAATAAATTTAAAAGGTTTTTTTTAAAAAAAATTACATTAAACCCCTATTCAATTTCCATTGGATTGTCCCGTGTTTAATATATGGGCTGGCGCAATTGTAATGGCAAATTTCGTTGACTAGTATGTTGTATGTTTCAAATGGCGCTTAACGGTGGCGTTGTTTCGTCTGCCGCAATTTGGAAAAGCGGGAAAATTCCCAAAAATAAACCGCCAAATTTAACAATGTGTTGTACAACACCACACTACTACAAATTCCCAGAAAACAACACATTAATTACACTAATTTCACTAAAAGAACCGAGAATGGTGAAGAGAGAACTAGCAATTCCCGTTTCATTCATTCAAACAATTATATGTTAATCGTTTTAGGAATTGATAGTGTTATGCTTTTCACACTAATTCGTGGACCGAAGTACAACCTATGTATGATGGGCCTTTACACCCTCAAAATGCAAGCTGCAAACACACCACAACAACAATCAGTCAGACTTCCAACCAAAGAGTACTAGGTTTGTCAAAAATTCAACTTCTATTTGCTACCATACCACACAAAAGCAAATAAGATCAACTCCAACAACATAAACACAGTTTAACAGATTCGCAAAACAAATTCAGATATAAAAAAAAAATAAAAACCTAATAATCAAACTTAAAACCCAATTATGTTTCTTGGATGAAAAACCTAATAATCACACTCAAAAACCTAATAAGATTGACAGTGAGCTGATGGTGATTTTGTTCAATGGTGGAACAATTGCTATTGGAAGTTTGAGCTGAATGGGTTGAGATTCTATTTGTTGGATGAAATTTTGTTTATGAGAAGCAAAACTCCCTGTAACTGATATTTTCAAGTCTTGTTCAGGGTAAACAATAGAAATGAGCAATATGTTAGGAAATTTTGTTGTGGTATTATGTGCGGGGGTAAGCAATTGAAAATTATTTAGAGTAACTACTAATATTACTTCACACCACATCAACATTTCCAAGGTCAAAAATGGAAGTCAAACCAAGACTGGCAAGCAATTACACAGTTAGTACATTAACAAAGAAGATTTCAAACTCAAATGAGAACACATGTTAACATTAAAATATATCTACCAGTAAGTACTTTATCGTACATTCAACCTGTCTTACATCACCAAACAAAAATAACAACATTCAAATTCAACACAAAATAGTAAAGGTATCTTCCTAAACCAATTGAGTTAGGTTTATTTCACTTATTGTTTGCATTTGCCCAAATTTTTAGGTATCTTCCTTATAATGTGCCAGATGCACCATCTATGACGAGATGAGGGCATCAAATGAGCAATGGGCTTTCTCATTGTAGCAACTTGATCGGTCAAGATGACACTCGGAGCTATGCCTCCCATACAGGATAGCCATTGCTCAAAAACCCAAAAGTATGTTTCTGTGGTTTCATGAGATGCAAGGGCACAACCCAAGAGTATTGATTGTCCATGGTGATTTACCCCTACAAAATTTGCAAAAGGCAGCTCATATTCATTAGTTAAATATGTTGCATCGAAGCATACAACATCACCAAATTCCTGATAAGCCACCCGGCTCCGTGCATCTACCCATAAGACATCCTTAAGACGGCCTTCTTTGTCTAGCCGATGTGCATGAAAGAACTTCTGGTTGTCTGCTTGCATTCGATCAAAGTAAGACATCATTGCTACTGCATCACCGCCTTCCATTTTCAATCTTCGTTCCTTAGAAACCTCGTGTTGAAGGTCTTTGACACTAGGGAGATCATCATCATCACCACCTCTCTCAGCAGCCATACAACCATGGATTTGTGTCACGGGCACACCTTCTTCATAAAAATCCATAAGCTTCTTCTTCACTGTAGAAGTGTGATTTTTCATGCGATATTCCTTCACCAATTTTGACCCACTTGGGTCTAGTTTGTGTACATGATTTAGTTCCACAGTCTTCAGAACCCATTCCCCATCACAATTGACACTTGCATATATTCTGGCCAAGCATTGACACTTCTTTGAGGTCCTTTTACAACAACTTAACTCATTCTCACCAATGTCACCATTACTAGTGGCCACTGTACCGGATATTTCCATAGCTTTAGCCCTTTTCTTTGCTTGCCACCTAGCCCTCATATCAGGGTGGCCCCAACAATCACATCGCGATGTTACAGCCCTCCTCTCCTTTTGCTTTGAGAATGAGCCTGCTTGTCTACATACTCCAAAGTCATGTTGTTGCGCATACTCTTTGAAGTACATTTCAACATCCTGCCACCGCTTGAACACCATCCCTTCTCTAGGTGGTTCAACTCAACTGTGGAATACACAGATATCTTATTTGTGGACACAATGGTCTCCATCGTCTCCAAAGTCTTGATAGGAGATGTCAGTTTAATGCCATCCTTGCTAGAGGGTTGGACATAAGGAGATAGGCAAGTTAAGGACACTCCATCTTCATCGGGAGATTGAGTAGGAGTTTCATTAACTACAATCTGATCCAAAGTTTTATCACAGAAACTTAACTCATTCATGTTACCTTCCTCTTCATCCATAGTAATGGGGGTTAACAGTACAACTACACACTGCAATGGAAATTAACAAAACAACAGCACAAGGCTAATCAAAATTCAACAACAACAATGAAACCATTAACATAATACAAACTTAACTCTTTAATGTCACCTCCCTCTTCAACCATACAACAATTCGCTAGCATAATCTTTTATTAAAAAATTTGGGAATAACAAATTGAGGATATATTTTCCTACATTACTTAACAAAAAAAGGGTCTACAAGTACTGAAAATACACTATTCATTTCTGATTTGAAAAACGGTAATTAAAATGTTCCCAATTACATGATTTCTCAAATATTCCCAATTTTAACCAACCACATACAATTAAAAAGTTCTCAATTAGATGATTTCTCGACTATGCCCAAATTTAACCAACCACGTACAATTAAGGACTGAACATAATTTAACTAAATTTGCTAATTAAGGACAACAAATTTCAGCATCAATTTCTTACCTTGATATTCCGGGTCTAAGGATCTACACTTAGTCTTCCATGTCAAAATTTCCCATAATTTCTATCCTGAACTCCATGTTTAAAACGAAATACTGTTGCGATTTGAGACGGAAATACAAGTATTGGTTTGATTTGAATGTTTGAAAGACGGTGGTAGAGGATTATCCACCGCCGACAACCATAATTTCCTCTTATGACCACCACCAAATTGATATTCTCTCTCCTCATCAATTTGGGAACTCAATAAAGTAGAGAAGAAGGCGTTACTTTTTCCGTCAACATATGTACCGTTAAAAGTTTTAATTAAAAAATAGTTTCAACGGAGTCCCCGTCAACAATCCACTACCAAACTTGTAGATTTCACAAAACGTTTGATCTTATTACGAGACTGCCACTATATCAACATAACTTGGTTGATATAAGATATCAATGGGGTGTGGCTCTTTATACTCGCCTATTTTTTTCCCCAAATTTTGTATTTAATCGTGTATTTTTTTTATTTTATTTTTTTTTTGTAATTACTAGCTTTATTTTACAAAAATTAAAATTTTTACTTTTGTTTAATTGTTCAGTTCTAATTTGTCTATAGACCACTGTTTTATATATAATAGGTATAATTGTAAAATAACAAAACCCTTAATTTTAGAGTGGTTGATATTCAATAAGTAGATTTTAAACCAGTTTTATACATAGGAAAATAGATTGCCAATAATTTTTTCATATTATGAACGCTTTTTTATTGAAGTATGAAAAGTCAACTATGATTTAGTAAACAAAATAGTTATAATAATAAGCTATAAAATTATATATTGATTCAACCGTCGCCAGCCACCGTAGCTTAAAATTACTGGCTCCGCCCCTGGCGGATGGAGTAGTAAAAACTAGTTCTCCCTCCGTTTTTTTATTTGCATCACTTGGTGATGCGCAGAGTTTTAGGAAAACAATATAATATTGTGAATAGGTGAATAATTTAATATAGTAAAAGTAAGATATAGACCATGAAAGAGAAAACATGTGAGGGAGAGTAAATATCTTAATTATATAAGTGAAGACCATAGAGGAGAGAAAGATAATAAAATAAGTTAAGTGAGTTTTAAAGTAAGAGAGAGAAATAATAAAATATAGTACAAGTATAAAGTTACCAAATAAGGAAGTAGTGCATTTAAAAAAACACACGCATAAAAATAAAGTGATGCATTTAAAAAAACAGAGGGAGTACTGAATGAAGGGTCCTGCACTTAAAGAGTACATGTGTAAAAAAAAAGGAATTTTATAAGCTTTGCCCTTGAGGTTGTTAAATTTCTAAGGTGTGCGCATGCTTTTTGAAAATTACAAGTTGTGCCCTCCAACTTAAGGTATTTAATCAATTGTACCCTCTGACGTTAATTCGACGTTAATAATTGTAAAAAAAAATGGAAAGTAATAAGAAGCAGATGAAAAAAAAAAGAAAAAAAAAAGAAATACAATTAGAGCTTGACATATCAATGGTTTCCCTTATAACAATGAAGTAAAAGTAGATAAGAAAATGTGCAAAAATGCTTTATGTTAATCCCCTTATATAACTCTAATCCAATTTGGATGTCGTGAAATTTTTCTCCAAAGTGGCGTAATAAACAGTTAGCATAAGTACTAACGTTGGGTTAACGTCAGCGGGTATAGTTGAATAAATACCTTAAGTTGTAGGGCACATGTTGTAATTTTAAAAAAGCATGGGTATACCTTAGAAACTCAAAAACTATAGGGGCATAACTTAGAAAAAAAAAGAAAAAACTGATTTATATTTCAACTTATATAGATACAATAATTCAGCATAACTTAACTTTAAAATCTACTTTATCAAACTCGATCGGTCGACCCGTGTACCCAAATTGGAATCTCTACTTAAGAGTAAAGGGGAGGGGAGGTAGTCCCTAACCTCCACCCCACCAAACCCAATCGGCCAACCCAAGTATGATTTGGAACAATACAATCAACACTAGACCAAGTATTTTAGCCATATCTTATAATCAAGAAATAATATTGATCTGATTCCAATTGGGTTAGATAGTAGAATTTTAGAGCTTTCCAGTGATATATTATTTGACTTAATCCGAGTTTGGGATCAAAAGTTATGATAAAGTTAAAAAACACAAAAACTGGAATATTCTATAGGGGGAACGCTTAGAATTTTCAAATCTCTTAGGGACTTTGTAAAATTCTAAGTGTTTCTCCCTTAGAGTTTTGGAAAAGGCATTGGCCTCCACAACAAAAACAACAACCAAAAAAAAAAAACTTTAATTTAGGCAATGTGTCCGATGACCTTGCCCTCGGTCGGTGGTGGTTTGTTGCCTCAGTCGACGATGGTCTATTGAAAGGAGAGAATGTAAAATTGGGTTATAGCATGGAATACACACGAGGATATGTTCATCCATTTATATTTAAATGTGGGCATTAATTGGTAATATAAGGGCGTCGTTAATACTTCCCTTTATAAAATGTAAATAATAAATTAATTTCATAAGCCAAGGAATATAAATAATAAATCAATCATTTAAATCAACAAGGAATTCGTTTTAAATATTTTTGGCTCATGTACTTTATATTTGTATGCAACCTTCTTTAATTTTCGCATTTTTTAGTAACCTTTGTATTTTGACCAAGTGTACCATGCACTCGGGTCTTGGATTTATGGTTTCAAACCCCAACCTTTAAATCCGAGTAAAGAAACTTATCAAATGAGCCAACACTTTGTCAATACTAAAAAACTTAAAAGAAACTTCTTAGTAATGACTTAGATTATACGTTTAATTTAGTACTCCACCCATTTCATAAATAATTATAACAATTTAACTAGAATATGTGTTAATGTAGAACTTCATTTGATCACTAAATTTATAGTTGTTACTCGGTATATACAAAAAATTATATTCATGTGAGAAATTGTTAGATATATTTATTTATATTTTGATGGGATATATTTAATTTTGATAATATGTATTTTATTAAACTTTCTTATTTAGTACGGTACACTGTATGTAACTAGCATTTCGGCCCGTTCAATGCACGGGTTATAATATAGGTTATTTTTATATAAATGTATGCTTTTTAATAGTTGAAACTACGAAGTTATTGTTACATGACTTTTGAGGTAAATGCTTGTGAAAGTTTTTTTTTTTTTTTAAAAAAATAAAAATAAAGTGAGTGGAATTGTGAAAGAATAATTAATTTAGTTAATTATATATACATGAATATTGTAGAATATGAAATGACATATTAGTTTAAGCTATATTTCTAAATAAAAAAAAAAAAAAAAAAACTATATTTAAGTTTAAGAAATAAAAAGACAATTTTTATTATACTTCATATGTTTATGTAATAGTTAATTCAACTTTATTCTTTCATGGTAGAAATTAAACACTTCATTTTTTTACTTAAATGTGCAAGTTACGGAATGCACAAAGACTTTAACATTATGTAATATTTTTAATTTAATTTTTTTAATATTGAAAAGGTAAGGGAAGTAACATTTGCATATGAGTGAGTTGTGAGGACATGTGGCATATGAATTATTGTGGTTTGAGTTTTTAAATACTAAGTATAGATATAAATTAAAGATATTGATGGTCATAAACATGTTTTCGACGCCTGTAAAATTAATAGACCTGGTCTATAATAACTTATTGTAGACCCAACCTTCTAGTATACCGTACGGATGTGATTATATCGTACGGATGTCATTATATCATACGAAATGTGATTATATCACTACAAAAGTGATTATATCATCCTGAAACCGTTATGTAAATGAATTCCTCAAAAAGTGAATTTATCATTATAAACAGTATCAAATAGTAAATTACATCATTCAAAAGATGATTTTTAAATTTTGTATAATTATATAATCTCATTAAATGGTTTAATAAGTATGAGTTTATATAATTCAAAATATGACTCACAAAAAGATAATTATATCGTCTAAAAAAGTGATTATATCATCTAGAATGTGATTATATTATTTGAAAGTGTCAAACTTTGGGTTTACAATAATTTATTATAAACCGGGTCTATACAAGACCAATTGTATATTATTAGATTGATGGAGAAATATCATGACATTAATCCTTAATGTTTTCGCTAGATTTCATATTTTAAATACTCGATACTCCGTATTATAAAAAGTAAGACTCATGTTTATTATTCCAATGTAAATTTGTTTGTGTGAGATTATTATTACTTGAATTAATTAGCCCGTATCGAGGGTTTCATTCCCGGACAGCAAGTCCAGCTCTAGAGGTGAATCCGGTGATGCTCTCATCTGGTTTAAAGGTTTAATTGGGGTCAGGGTGCAATGTGGCCCCTGAAGACTTTGGAAAAGCTGTATAAACTACCTCTATACAGTGTTTGACTTACATAATTTAGGTATACGAAGTATGAGTTTAGAATAGTTTGGAAATGGGCTCATTGGGTTTCGAACTCTTAACCTACATTATATGTGAGCTCAAACCAAATCAGCCAAATAACCTTGCATTTTACTATATTGTAGCTAAAATTTTTAATATGTTATTTGGATCATATTGGGGGGGGGCGTCTTTGTCTTAAAAGGTATGGGGTTCATAAACCTAGGGGAGGTAGATTTTGCTCATTCCCATACTTTTTAGGTATCAAATTAAAAGAGAAAAAACATTCCATATTCATACCAAACATAATTAAATTCCAAATTCATACAACTATGATTTTCTATTTTATTCATTTAGATAGATTAAATTTTAGTCATTAGAGAAGGCAAGCCTAATTGTAATCGTGTTTTTTTCTTTTTAAAAAGAAATTTAAAAAAAAAAGTTTGTACATTATTATTCATAACAAGTTAATTAACTTTTTCAAAAAGTATTTAGTAATACAATTTCCCTTCAAAAATAAAATAAAAAAGAGTAATACAATTTACATTCCTAGAATATCATCAATTTGTTCATGACATACCCGTACAATTTCTTATTTTATTGCTCGACATAACTATGTGTTACACATAATTTTATATGCAGCCTGTTGTACTGTGCAACGAGGATTGCTTAAATTTCTCGATTAGTGGTTATCTGAGTTTTTGAGGTTACTTGAGTTTCTCGGTCTAGAGATACTTGAGTTTCTCGGTCAGGGGTTACTCGAGTTTCCAGGGTTACTTGAGTTTCTCAGTCGGGGGTTACTCGAGTTTTTCGGTCAGGAGATACTCGAGTCACAATTTTTTTTTTATGCGGCCCCACTGAGAAACTCGAGTGAACCCTGTCCGAACTCCTCAAGTAACCCTTGACCGAGTAACTCAAGTAACCCCTAACTGAAAAACTCAAGTAACCCCTACCAAAAAAACTCG